AATAGAATGGAAAAAGAATAGAGCAAGCTAGTGTTAGAGGCCTTTTTTGCTTTTGTTAATTGTATAATAAATAAAAAGAAAACATATAGAATACAAAAAAGAATAAAAAGAATAGAGAAGCTAGTGTTATTTTATTTTTTAAGAAAACAAGCTGTTAGTAAATGAATAGAGTGCAACTCTAAAAGGGCTTTTTTTTAAAGAATATAATTAGAATAGAGAGTGCTAGAGTTAGAGGGTCAAATAAAGATGGAAGAGATGTGTTTTTAGCTGATTCTTGAAGATGGCTAACGACTCAGCTGCTCGGATTGAGTTGGGCAGATCATTCCACCAGGAGGGAACATTTAATGTAAAAAAAAATTATTTAATAAATACATACATTTTATTTTATTAAATTTTATTGTATTATTTATTTTAAATAAATATTTAATTGACTAAAGTACAAAGAAAAGATCTCTAAAGTATTCACTGACCAACGTAAATATATTTTGTAAATATGAACAAATTTAGTTTTTGACGGCTGCAACGCATTCCAAAAAAGTTGGAACAGTGGCAAAATAAAAGTGTATATAGGCAATATAAAAGGTTATAGAATATCCACGTTAAACTGTTTTAAAACAGTTCACAGTAAGCAGGTGAACTGGTAATAATAGGTCAAGGTATCATGTTTGGGTATAAAAGGAGCATCTCAGTCAGAGGCGGACAGTAGTGAAGTATTTTTACTTTACTCAAGTAAATTAAAAAAGTATCTGTAGTTTATCAGAGTGTTTTTCTTTGGAAAACTTTACTTCACTACATTCCAAAGCATAATGTCATACTTTTTACTGCACTGCACTTCATTTCATAAATAAATGTTGTTGTTTGTTTTACCTTAAGAACAAGAATACTTAAGAACATTAAAAATGTAGTATTTTCTTGTATTCAAGTAAATCTTTGAATTACTTTTACTTGAGTAAAAGTAAGAAAGTAATAGATTTCTAATTTAATTAAGTATTAAATTATATTTAATATGAAACATAATGCAGTAAAAAGTACAATATTATGCTTTGGAATGTTGTGAAGTAAAGTTTTCTAAAGAAAAACACTCTGATAAAGTACAGACACCTGAAAAGTACCTTTACAGCAGAGTAAAAGTACTTCACTACTGTCCGCCTCTGGTTAAATGTGAAAATAATATGATATAATATGTTGCATTAATTTGATCAAGTGA